TTGAGTTTTTCATTTGTAAGCTTTCTTCGGGTAGAAACCCTACATAGTCGATTAATATGCTTCATAGTCGATTAACATACCTGATGGCTGGCTGATACAGAAAAAAAAGTTAAAAAAATAAAAAAATTACAAAATTAAAAAAATTCCCTTAGTCCACTATGCTCTATAGTCAATTAATATCGAAGTCGAATAATACACGTGACATATTTAAAAAAAATGATTATTTTTTTAAAAATAATTAAAAAATTTAAGAAAAAATAAAAAAATTAAAATAATAATAATAATAATAATAATAATAATAATAATAATAATAATAATAATAATAATAATAATAATAATAATAATAATAATAATAATAATAATAATAATAATAATAATAATAAGAATAATAATAATATTTATTATTATTATTATTATTATTATTATTATTATTATTATTATTATTATAAAATAATTATAATAATTATAAAAAAAAGGAAAAAAAGATAGAAGAAGAACGGCTGATGTAGCCGCCCGCACATGTCATATGATAATAGTGTTGATGAGATGGGGGCATAATTGGAAAAATGAATAGCAGAAATTAGGAGTCGATTTTTCTCAAATGATGTAAAGTAGTTTGGGCCTCTCACTATTAAAAGAAGTATTGAGCGAGTTATATCAAAGAGCCCCGTAAACAAAATTTCAAAAAAAAAAAAAAAATCAATTAACAGAGTTAAATTACTGTCTCCAACAGTAAAATAACTGCTGGAGACAGTAATTTAGCAGCCAATACAGTAATATTAATTAAAAAAAAAAATTTAAGAGAAAACAAAAATAAAAATAAAAATAAAAATGGCAACGCCAGAGACCCGGCGGCTGACCTACCGAAAAAAAAAATTCAAAATTTGTTTTTTCAAAAAAAGGAAAAAAATGAAAGTCAACGCCGGAGACCGGTGGCCTGCGGTGGTGGCGTGTCAAAATTGGTCAATTGGTGAAATTGGACTAAATTGGGGTGTAAATCATGAAATTAGAGTTAAATTGTGTTTCAATGAATTTGGCGTAATTTTGATATATTTAATAGGGTTTTTCTTATTTGCAAATAAGTTTGAATGAACTGAAAATATTTGAAAGACAAAAAAGTTAAATGTCCATTTTTTAATTTATTGCCTTTGTCATGAGCTTTTTGAGGTAAACCCTTATATTTAATGTTATAAACATTTATTTGTTATTGGAATTTTCAGAGTTTCAAATTGGATTCAAAATCGGATTTTTTGTTAATTTTAAATATAATGTTTTTTTTCTTCATATTTTATGGAAATCGAAATGGAATTCTTTTTTTCTTTATTCCGAAGTTGCCTACTTTTTCTTTCAAATCTTGGACAAATTCATAAGTTTAATTAGATTTATTTTGGATAGATATATCTAATTTTAAGCCTTTATGACTATCAACATCGATATAAAAATTGTTGTCCGTATAAAACTGGTTGTTTGTATCTATAATTTAACAGGTGAACAGTCTTATAAGAAACCACATTTTATATCATATTTCAACAATATTGTTTTTATTTTACAAAACTATTACTCCATTTTTTTTTATTTTTCAACATTTTAATTTTGAATTAGTATTAAAAGCTATGATAAAAAAACAAATAAAATTAAAATGAGAGATATCAAAAATATTTTTTATGTGAATTTTACCATGTATGTTTTCCCCATTTAACTTTAGGGTATATTACAACTACCCTTGAGCTATGATCAATTTACGAAAAGATTTCTCTTATTTGGATAATTACATATATAACCTCTCAAGTCTCAACTATGATTTTTTCTTACAACTCCATCCTTATGGTGTCAAATTCAACATAATCATCTAGATTTTGTGAAATTTGTACTTGTTTTGTGTAAAAATACAGTTTCTGATGCACCACAATCTGATATATACAAGCCACAAAACACATATTATGATCATCTTGCTTTAAAATGTAGAGTTCGAATGAGATATAACGGGTACAAAAGTGATAATAATCTAATATTCCATATAATCTCGAAGATTCCACTAAATTTGAAACCGCAAGAATGAACATGTAAGAAGATTTATAATTGAGGGTAATTGTAATTATCCAAACATGAGGGGATTTTCGTAATTTGTCCGTACCTCACGGGTGGTTGTAATTAACCCTTCACTTTATTTAGATTTTTTCATTTGGGTGGTATTTCCTATCGAAAACCAACTGCAGCATTATTTATAAATTATAACTATTGGCTGCAAATTCCTTAATTAAAAAAAAAAAAAAATTAAAAAAACTATTGGCCAAAACGACGACGCCGAGTTCTTACTTATCCGTCGGCTATCGTTTCTCAAGCTAGGGTTCATCATGAAACCCCCAAAATTGACGTCGGAATTCTTCACACATCTCCCACCGGAGACCACCATCGATATCCTCTCAAGACTTCCGATTCGAACGATTGTCAGATCCAAACTCGTCTGCAAATCGTGGCGCGATCTGCTTCGGACTCGCGAGTTCGCCGATTCGCATCTCTCCAGATCAACCTCGGGCCTGGCTATCTGCGAGTACTCATCGGAGTTGAGGATCTTCGAATTCGAAGACGAACACAATCACCAGCACCGCCACAATCCAGTCACCGGATTCCCTTGCCGGAAATTCGCAACGATCAGGCTCCCCACCGCTATACAGGGTTCCGCCAACGGCCTGCTTTTCTCGCGCGGAATTACCCGCCAATTCGATGCTCTCCACATATGCAATCCAATCACTCGTGAGTGTATCCAGCTCCCAACCCCCGAAAACTACGTTAATTCTCCTACAATAGTAGCTAACGGATTCGGGGTGAGCAAAATTACCGGGCGGTATAAGGTGGTTAGGGTTTCTCTCGAGTATGATCGCGATCCCTATACATACGAATTGGTCGGGATTACAAAGTCTAGTTGTCACGTTTACACTCTCGGAACGGGGAAATGGAGAAGCATTGTTGCCTCTGTTCCCCCGTTGGGGAATAACCAGTACTCGATCGGGGCGTTTCTCAACGGGAGTCTCCACTGGTTCGTCGAAGATTTCAATGGCTCTTATTCGATTTCTCGCTTCGATTTAGAGACGGAAACGTTCAGCTCGTTTGCTCTTCCTCCTCTTCGTGAAAGCGATGTGCATTCTCAGATCGTGGTTGCATTGGGGGATTACTTATGTGTGTGCGACAATTTGTCCGAAGATGAAGTTGTTGTCTGGTTGATGAAGGAATACGGAGACGAGAAATCTTGGGCGAAGGAGATTGTGATCCGGAAACCCCAGTTTCTTCGCGGCTTTGGCGGATTTGCTTCGAACTTTGTTTGTCCTGTCAGAATTTTCGAACATGGTCATGTGTTGATGTCTTGTTATGCGGTGTGCTTGTTCTGCTACTCGAACGAGACCGAAACTGCTGAGCTGGCACATATGTTTGGAGTGTTTGATGGACATAGGGGCATGCAGGTAATGCTTCATCGCTCGAGTTTTCTTTCGCTCAAGTGTTTCCCCATGGAGAATGTAACTTCATTTTGATGTTGTGTATTTTGGAAATATTGTCAATCTGTAGTCTCTCTTTCTGTTAATGTTATCATAAGTATTGCCACACTGGAAAAGAAAAAAAAAACATAAGTATCCATGTTTTAATATTGATGCAGGGGTAATTCTGATTAGCCTTTATTAATAGAAATTTTATGATTATGCATAAAAAAGAAAAAAAAAAAAAAAAAAAATTGTACGGGCACTCCCAAATTTGTTATTTCGAGTCACTTGACCACCTACGTCTAATTTTAATCGGGCAAATATTGGAATATTTACGCCCAAATTTGTTATTTCGAGTCACTTAACCACCTACGACTAATTTCTTCGGGCGAAGATTGGAATATTGTGGTGCATGTGTGAGGCACATGACAATGTCCATGGGCTTTTTCGTCTTGTCATCTGAATTACATTGATTCAGCCTCTACACAAAAATTCCAAGAAACCCACAAACATACATGAATCAAAGCAAACACACATACATGAAAAAGGCTATCAAATTTATGAATACAACAACAATCGTAAAAATATCCCCTGCCAAAATACATGAGCAACAATTCTTTTTTACAAGCTCTGAGCAAGTGAAAATTAAGTGATATGATGCTCTTATTAATAAATTAGGTTTTGTGCATTAATCTAAAGCAGCAGATTATTTAATTTATTATTCACAAAGGGTTCCGATTGATTCTTGTTTTCTTGCTTTGTTAGTATACATTGTGATTGCAAGGCCTCACTCCAATCTCATCGCTTCCCTTATTCAACTTCTAAGCAGCCATATCTAAACAAGCCATTTTTATTTGTTTCTAAAACGAAATATTACACCTTAATTTACTTTCATTTTTTTAAATAATAATAATAATAATAATAATAATAATAATAATAATAATATATTATTATTATTATTATTATTATTATTATTATTATTATTATTATTATTATTATTATTATTATTATTATTATTATTATTATTATTATTAATTATTATTATAGTAAAATTGATTTGATTAGAATTTACAAAGCTAAAGATTGGAAACACAATAGTTACCTATTTGATTTAAGGGTGATCATTCAGACCGGATGGGCCTATAAAAGACAATAATCGGATTCCACTAACAAACTGACACGTGGACATATTTCAAATTTTTCTTGGCAATATTATATAGGGGCTCTTTGAGAAAACCCCCTCCCTACTTTTTTTAATTGAGGGAGGCCCAAAATATTTTAGACCATTTGAGAAAAGCCCATGATCCAATTCAGCCATTGTGTTTCCCAGCTTTACCCCCGCCCGCCACCTCATCACAGCTGGGCACGCGCTCCAGCGATTTTTTTTTTTTTTTTTTTCCGTTTTTTTAATCGACTATGAAGCATAGTCGATTAGTCTTAAATCGACTATGCTTCATAGTCGATTAAGGAAAATCTTTAATTTTTTAATTTTTTTTTTAATTTTTTTTGGTTTTTTCAAAAAATCATTGAAATCAATAAACAAAAAAAATATACAAACATTATAATTGATTTATACATTGAAATCAATAAACAAAAAATCAAAAAAAAAAAATCAAAAAAAATTAACAACTGGAGTCGGTTAAACCTTAATCGACTACCGAACATAGTCGATTAAGCCTTAATCGACTATTGACATAGTCGATTAAACACACGTAGTCGATTAAGGCCCTGCCTGCGCGAATTTATTTTTCTGCGCGAATTCAACGAACCCATCGCAATCTTCCACCCAAAACCGCCGCCGCTAGCAGACCCATCGCAATCCTCCACTAAAAAACAACGCCACCAACAGATCCATCGCAATCCTCCACTCAAAACCGCCGCCACAACCATTATTACCATCACTCATGAACAGAGTACACAATCCCTATAATCGTCCGTCACTACCACCGGTCACCGAGTACACACTCCCCACCTGGGACGATTACATACACAGTAAAAAAAAAACACACACACACACAATCAGCTTTCGATTAACGGTCAAATCTTCGATTTCAGCGCCGTCTTCCGCCAACCAAACGACTCTTCAAAACGGTACCGATCGATTTCAGCGAAAACTGCCGCCGGTTGATTCCACCGGATTCACAAATCCAAAACGGAGAGTAGAAAACCTAAACGATGCGTGATCGCCGTAGAAGTTGCATCGGAATAATGAATTTCACACACACACACACAAATCGAAATCCGAATAAAAAAAAGTGCATGTAAATGTGGGTGTTTTGAGTGGGTGGATGCAGTAGTTGATGGGTTAAATGGATTGAACTTTCAGAAGAAAGGGTCTTTCGATGAGAGAGAGAGAAGAGAGAGAGAGAAAGAACAAGGTTGCAGAGAAGAGGTGAAAGGGCGAAGTGGGGTGGAGAAGAAGAAAGGTTAAGAAATAAGGGTGGTTTGGGAATTATTAAATAATAATAAGGGTGGGATATTAGGTAAGGGGGTTTTCTCTAATTATTTTTGGAAGGGGGGTTTTTCTTAACTCATTTACCTAGATGAGGGGGGTATTGCTAATTATCCCTATTATATAACAAGTGGGTTTTGCCCATTTAATACAAAACACAAAAATTAATAAAAAATAATTTTTTTTTCTCCAAAATCATTCAGCCAACAACAATTTAGGAAAAAAATATAATTGTTCAAATTATAAAAAAATTACTACAAAAACCCGAAACCTGAAAACCCGAAAATCCGAAACCCGAAAACTGAAAACCGAAACCAAAAACCCAAAAAAACCCAAAACCCGAAAACCCAAAACCCCGAAAAACCCGAAACCCAAAACCCCGAAAAACCCGAAACCCAAAACCCCGAAAAACCCGAAACCCCAAAAAACCCGAAACCCCGAAAAACCCAAAACCCCGAAAAACCCAAAACCCAAAACCCGAAAACCCGTCCGTTGAACATAAGTTTTTATATTATTATTATTATTATTATTATTATTATTATTATTATTATTATTATTATTATTATTATTATTATTATTATTATTATTATTATTATTATTATTATTATTATTATTATTATTATTATTATTATTATTATTATTATTATTATTATTATTATTATTATTATTATTATTATTATTATTATTATTATTATTATTATTATTGTAAGATTTGATTTGATTAGAATTTACAAACCTAAAGATTCGAACACAATAGTTACGTAGTACAACAAAGGTTGAGTTGTATAAGGAAAGGTAATTAATGATGTTCAAAAACTTCCCTAACATGAATCAATCTTCTTTCTATATAAACCCTAATCAATCGCCTCATACCTTGCAAACCACGTAACACCATATTTGATTTGATTTTCAGAGAGAGAGAGAGAAATTTAGAGAGAAAGTTGATTTGATTTTCCGAGAAAGAGAGAGCGAGAGATTTAGAGAGAGAGTTTCGCCATGGCCGCCGAAGTGGCCGCGCCGCCGAAGAAGAATCTCTATGCTTCTATCTATGGGTCCAGAAAACGAGCTTTTAGATCCAAACCGCCTCAAAATATTACTGTCAAGAAACCCAAACTCGACTGCGCTTTTATTCAAAGTGACGATGATGATGATGATGATGACGACGATGTATCCTCCAAGATTGTCGGAAGAAAATATTCCTCCGGTATGCTTAATATTTCTGGATATGAAAGTATTGATATAATCGGATCTGGAACTTACGGCGTTGTACACAAAGCTCGCCACTCAAAAACCGGAGAAATCGTCGCCATCAAACAACAGTTCAACGGATGTTCCGTATCTTCCTTCCGAGAAACCGACGTACTCGAGTCCCTTCTTCCTCACCCTTCCATCGTCCGATTCAAGGAAGTTCTCGTCGGTAATGATTTTGACGACGACACCGTTCATATAGTCATGGAGTATTTCGAACGTGATTTGAGTAACTACATCAAATCCAAGAAGAAAGACGAGTCCTTTATTATTAATCCGAGCGAACTAAAGTGTATGATGAAGCAATTATTGGAGGGGGTCGAGTTTCTTCATTCGAATAAACTGATGCATAGGGATTTGAAGCCGGGGAATATTCTCGTGAACAAGGACGAAAAGGGGATGTTAAATTTGAAGATATGCGATTTTGGGATGTGCCGTTCGTTCGGAAGCAAGTCGGGGTTGTACACACCAAGTGTAGGCACTAGTTGGTATAAATCTCCAGAAATCTTACTCGGGGCGAAAAAATATTCGAGTGCGGTGGATATGTGGTCGGTTGGTTGTATAATGGCTGAGTTGTTTACGGGACAAGCGATTTTTAGAGGGGAATCTGAATTGGATCAGATTAAGTGTGTGTATAGGGTTTTGGGGACTCCGAACGAGGATATTTGGCCTGGATTTACGAGTTTGCCGGGGAGCGTAGCTAATTTTGGTCAACTGCCTTGTACTTTGACTCGAGACGAGTTTCCGATGCTTACACGAGTTGGATTTGATCTGCTAAGCAAGCTTTTGAGTTACGATCCGGAGATTAGGATAACGGCTGAAGTTGCGCTTCGTCATGCTTGGTTCGAGGAGGATTAATTAATTAATTAATTAGTTTGATCATGAATATTGTGGATTGATCATGAATATTGTGGATTAATGAAATTATGAATATTGAATTATGGTTTTGAGGAATTCTGTTTGTAGTTCTGTTTCTACTGTAGAATTAAATATATTGTGATCTTTCAATATAAGATTACGTCTAATATAAGAATTAAATATATTGTAGTTCTGTTTTGACAAAGGTTTTAGCATGACAAGAAGAAAAATCAATAGCTAATTTCTCTGTCAGTAAAAATAATTAGTGATATTTGTCATGCTGGAATTGTGAAACACACTAGAATCTGAGATTTTATTTCTTAGTTTCTGCCCAGAAAAAATAAAAAATTAAATTCAAGGTTTTGTGACTGCTTAAGCATACTAGAATCTTGAAATTTGGTTCGTGAACTGCTATATATATTGGGTGAAATATAATAGTTGTGATCTTTTATTTACTCATTAACACATATATACACGTTTATGTAGCACGGACACGGGAATGCGGATATGGAGAACTCTGTTTTCCAAAAAGTTGGATCCGGAACGTTGGGGAAACGCGTAAACAATAAAAATATAGAGGTGTATTCATAATTTATAAAAAATATTATAATGTTTAATATCATTCCATAAATTACATTCGGGGCATATAAATTTATTATGATATGAAATTAACATCTACAAAAATATTAAAACACCTCTAGAAGTGAAAAGGAGGCATAATATTTCAGACTTTTTTAAGTGTATGCAATTCGAAGTTTTTATTTAAAATGAAATTCGGATTTATTTTGCGTGGAAACGCGTTTCCAATTTTTCATTATTATAAGAAACATCCCGAAAACTTTTAAATATTTATGGAAACGGCCCCAAAATGTTTCAAGTATCATGGTGTTTCGGTTTTCGAAACTTTTAAAAAACATGGAAACGCGTGTAGATTAAAGTTTCGGTGCATATAGATACACATTGATATATACAAAGAAGTATAATGTTACGGACATATATAATAGGGTAATTTATGGTCCTAAATCTTATGTTTATTTTTTTTTTAAAAATCTTATGTTTGAGTAGTTACAATCATCTCATCATTTATATATTGTCTTGCACGTCCGTTTTTACGTGGGGATTTTTCGTAAAAGAAATTAATCTAAACAAGAGAGGTTTTGTTGTAATTTGACTTTACCTCAAGGGTTGAATGTAAATTACACCTATAAGAATCTCATACGTAAAAATAAAAGAAAACGGATTTTCCATCGTAAAACTGTATATAAGTGTTTCTATATCTTAAAATTGACATATGAGAGCTGCAACAAAATTTGCTGCCTAAATAAATCAGAGCAGCAAGCAAGCTCTCTACACTTTATTTCAAAGAAACAGAAGTATTACAAATCAATTCCTAATTAATCACTTGATGTATCGGGACTTCTTTCAATTTCAACTTCTTCTTCTTCGTCGTCGTCATCTTCATTCTTCATGTATAATCCGAGTTGCTCCAATGGATTACTAGTTACCGGAAATTTGAAACCACCAAGACCATTTTCATCACAATTCTCGGGGATTGTATCTTGTATGAAACTCTGATCCGTAAATACTCCTAAAGCTTCCATGAACTGGCTACTTTCATCGATATCAACAGTCTTCTCCATCTATGATAAGGAATACGTAATTCGTTTTAAGTTACGTAAAAATCAAATTTTTATTTAATATAAAAAAACGCATTCCAGTGAAAATCTATAAGTTTTACCTGTTGTAAAGCCTGTCGTGCGGCTTCCCTTTCGGCTTGTCTTTTCCTTTGGGCTTCGGCTGCAGCTTCTTCTTCGACTTTTCGTCTAGCTTCTTCTGCCTCTGCTTGCAGCCGAGCTTTCTCTGGTCAAAGTTTGAAAAAACAAATGAACATATGAACAAAGTTCTAAGGCAAGTAAATTTAAATTAAATCAAATATGAATAATTTTCAGTCGAACTTATCAGACCTTCTCTTCTTCGTCTTTCAAACTCCTCTTTCTCAAACTTTAGCTTCTCAGGATCCGCTCCCTGCAAAAAAATATTAATCGTCACAAAACAACACTACAGCTGTAATTTCACAAGTAAATTAAAAAAAGAAAAAAAAAAAAAAAGAATTGCATACTTTTTCAACAGTATTCTCTTGGGCTTTAATTATTATGTCGGCGAATCGGCCTCTCAATAAAGCTGCACGGTAAAGCTTTTCAGGGGAGACTTGCCTACCTGGTACACCACTCTCCACTTTAAATGTTATACAGCAATTTTTGGTGAGACGATGATTATGATGCTGCATAGTTAGTAATACACATTTTTCATCGCTTACCCTCTTCATGACAATTAGGCGAGTTTGATTCTGCATTTTGCTCACAATTCCTATTCAAAAAATCTGCAAGATAATAAACCCAAAACATATTATCAAGTCAGAACGTAAGAAAAATAAAGTCCGCCAAAACAACAAGTATCGGACCTTCATTGTTTCCATCGCTTTTCTTTGGTTCCGCTATAGGACCTTCCATTTCCTGGGTTCATAAATGCAGACAACGAGTTCAGAAGCCAAACAAAATTTCTCTCCCTATATATATATATATATATATATATATATGGACACACACATTCACAGAAGCTACCTGATCGGAATTATTGACAATATCCAGTTCAGCGGAACTTCCTGAACCTGAATCTGGATAAACGGAAGATACACATTTAGACAACATAATCACGGAGTTGCAATAACAGTTATAGGAATTTAGTTACCGTAGTTCTCAACTAATACAAATGTATAGAAGAAGATGATCGTTGAACTGATAATTGATAAAAGACAAATACAGCCTATCAATTCATTTTCCAGATTGAAATCCTTAAAAGAACCTACTGAAAATCGAAATCCCAATTTTTAGTAATGGATGTTTTCATATCCACATTTATAGAGAGAGAAAAAAGGTGGATATCCAAGACCAGATTCAAATCCACTATAGAATATACTCGCGCATATAAGAATAGTACTGGATAGATTCTTCCTAAATTGATCCTATAACAACTTCCAATATGGAATTCAAAGGGGTAAAATAGGAAATAATACGATCTTCAAATTAGATATCATGAAATAATCAATCAGCATCATTCTTTTTCGAATAGTGAAACCAAAAGTTCCTGATGTGTATAGATACAAAACATCGAATGGGAAAAAGAATTTCCAGGAACGTTGGAACGTTTCACTTTTCGGCAGGAGGGAATTTTTTTCAAATAGTGGTCCATAATTTACATATTAATTAATATGCCTTTGATTGGTCTAGACTCTAGACAAAAAGTTATGTTTTAACCACTACGTTCTTTTTTTATATTTAAGACTCACTCCCCCAACCAATAACCAGGTCGCAAGCTCTTATTTCATATTTGCCATTCTTTCATAGACAATTGGGAAAAGGAAAATGTTAGCTTATCTAAGATAGGAATAATAGTTATGAAACTAAGGTAATTTAATTCCATCATCCTTTCTCCCATGGTTCCATAGTAAATTGGGCTTCTTCAATTAACTATAATTGTATGAGTTAATTCCATGTGATATATGTAATTAACCCCACAATAAAATTTATAAAGTAGACGAACAAAAAAAAAATAGAAAAACAGAAACATCACTTTTTGTATGTAAACGAGTTAGACACGTGACATACCAGCCAAATCATGTACCCACATTGTCCCAAATAAATTCCTAGATTCCCTCTACCATATTTTTCATCATAGACGGCATGTTGGGATCTTTAACAAAAATATCAATATTCGTTTGTTCTTTTCTTCATCATGGAATATGGGAAAGAAAGATTCGATTCCATTATATTCCAACTCTTCACATATGGGGTATATGAATATTGTAACGACTAGGAGGCAAGAGCATAATAAATGCAGGTATAGTTAAATGCTTTATCTTATTGTTGTAGCTTCAAGTAGTAAAAAGTTCCAGCATAATTAATGTGTTATTATCCAATAAGTTAACTAATGGCTTGCATGTTTCATTTGTTTCCATATTGAATTAGAAAGAAAAAAAGTTTGACCCGAAATATGATATGGACATGATTGTACAAATTGGATATTAAGTAAATTGTAAAGTTGCACGCTTTACTTTCTCTACATTTAAACGACATATCCTTAAAAGTTCTGATATTAAACCACATGAAATGGGCATAAAATTTATTTAGCACGACACCAAATAAATAATAATAATAAACTTAACACTAAATTACATCTACACTCACGACAGGTAACCGTAAATGTACTTCGACAGTTTCCGATCCTTAAAACTATTTTGAAAGTTTCCAATCCCTTAGACCTAATGTTGGAATATCCCTTTCATTCAGCCGTAGCTTAAAGGATATCTAAGCATGAAATTCAAATCCACTCGCTGAAACCTATGTTTCCTTTATCCTTACATTAACTTTATCCTAAAGGACATGATGAAGCAAGAAATTCCAGGATGAGATTACAGACAGAAAAAGGAATACAAATACACATGCACATAATACATTTATAATCCCATAGTCCAACAGACATTGATATATATTGAAATATGAACACTGCAGAGACAACCGAACAGAAAAATGAGAAACTCTGATGAACCATGTCGGAGAAAGAGATTGACTACGTGGTTACTTATATTCAGCATTGAACATGCTTTTGACTTAATATCAATTAAATTAGTTCATTTGCCACAATATAAACAACAAAACGGAGCTCCCAGACGAGTGTCGTATGCTGCACAATGCACAATACAATAGCTTTCAAGTACCATAGTTTTTTCAGTTTCTATATTCATCACTAATAGTGATGTAATCTAGTAAGCTTTACAGGGTACTGTTAAAGCATATCACGTAATTATTGTGGTTTTAAGTGCCGAAAATAATTTTTAAATCTACATATAGACCATGATCGTGCAACAGCAATTAAGGATATTTACATCCTTCAAGGAATTATGTGAATCATGTTTCCAGTTAAACATAGATAGGCCCACGTAGTTAAAGTAAGTTCAAAATATGACAGAAAATTAAATCAAAAGATCATAAATAACACGAACCACTGGAGGATGAGCCTGAATCACCACTGCTGGAGCTACTTGAATTACGGTTACTGTTCTTTCTCGCAGCATCCGTGTCATTCTCCCCTGGTATACAGCTGGAGATAGGCCGTACATCATCTCCAATAATATCCACATCTTCATCAACTGGCCTACGTTCTGTTTAGTGTTTCGAGAAAGTGACAGAAGAAGAAAAGAAACAAGAAACGTAATTATTGGATGTCAAACTAAGGCATAATGACAAACTAAAACCACCTTCAATGCCGAAGGAACGAAAATTACCTTTGCAGTGTTGTGACGATAAATGGCTTGACTTAGACTCATTGTGTATCTGTGAAAAAAGAAAACAAATTAATAAAATAAAAAATAAAAAATAGTGATGATGTCCATGTAGAAACAGTTAAAAATACATATAAACTTGACGATGCACATGAAAAAAAATAATTGCACATATATACCTGGATCTCACATGGCTCCACTTTAACTTGATTTTGTTTCTTCTGCAGCAGATAATCATCCAAAAGTTTTCTGATCGTGAATAAGGTCTCATCGTTAAGAGTGTCGAAGTCAATCTCGATCTCATCGTCGCTTACGTTGCGTTCGTCTAGAATGCTCTCTTTAACAAAATCTAAAATATTGTCCGGCAGTTCCGTCCACGAGGCCTCCAACTCTTCACCCAATTTTTGCTTCTCAATATCGCTCATCCCCTTCTTACAATGCTCTTTCTTTAAATTACTCCTAGTGGGACCCGCAAAGGTGGTGCTTTCAGGTTCTACAACGGCATTCGACTTTAATTCATCCATTACTGTTAGAAACTTCTTTTCAATTGGCTTCCATCTCGTTTCGAAATACTTACTCATTTTCTCGGTCATGACATGTACAACATGTCCAGGTGGATTATAAGTCATGGCATTTTTAAAAGTGAGCCTTACGTCTGCAGCAAAACCCATCGGGTCGGAATACTGACGCGAAGTTAACTTTCTTTTTATCGTACCCAAATCCATTGGATGCTTTATAACATTGAAGTAATCAGGGACATTATGCTTTACAATATCAACCGGCTCGTTGAAAATCCAAGCATGCTGATGAGTCATCAGCCGAGATAACAGCGTCTCGCACTCTTTCATCAACACAGCAAAATTACGATTCGCAGACTCAGTTTTCTTAGCTGTAACATGCCCACCTTTAGTGCGGGCCCCGTTTCTTCCAGGGAAATTCTTGTTTCCCGTAAAATGTTCCGCAATAGAGGACTTGTTGGTAAAACTATCAATCTTCCTCTGAAGATTCTGAACTTGTTCGAGCTCAATTTTCAACCTCTTCTCCAAACCCTTCATCTCGAATTGCGACATACTGGACAAAGAAAAGATCTGCCTAGGCGCACCGAACGAATCGTAACTATCCACATTCAAGTTGGTGAATTTCCTCTTGAGAGCATAAGATTCCTCTGTACCAACACATTCCGAATCAGCCACTGCCTCCACAGCGGGCGGATAATCGGGCACAAACATAGACGAGTAGCTTTTCGCAACTTTTCGTGTTCTTCCCATCGTAATCAACTCTTATCTCATTCGAATAATACCTTCTCCTCGGATCATAAAACAGACCAAACTTTTTTCCTAAAACTCCCAACAAATAAAAGAAAAAATATCAAAGCCAAAAATTACAGTCTTCAAAATTTTCTGTTATCACAATCACCACAATGTACAATCAATCCCTTTCTTCGCTGATTAATTTGGATTCAATCAAACAATCCAAAACCAAATAAAAAGCACAAATCCAATAAAATCCCAAATCGAAGCAAACCCAAAATCCAACTCAAAAAGTGTGGACACGAAGAACAGCAGTATCCGAATTCCGAACCCTAGAGCCGGAAATTTATCGACAGCGACCTCGAATTAACCTTTAATCTAAAAAAGGCAAGAGGGGGGAAAAGTTAGCAACTGCGAGAAACGAATGTGTGACTACAGTGTGGGCCCAATCGTTTCGCCTGAAACCCTAATTTTGTCGAAAAGGGGATAAATGATAAATCCTTCGAGATTAGAAAGAAAGGAAAAAAATTATAAATACCACGAAATCGATGGAATCGCTTACGTATTGGCACTATTCGAGGATGGACAGTTGAATTGAATCTGGCCGTTGCTCTTCCTTGCCGTCAAATCGAGCGGCTGAGATTGAATTTGTGTATTCCTTATTCACAGTTAGGGGTGAAAGTCGGATGGATCGGATCGGAATTAGCCTTTTCGGAAAATTTCCAAACAAATTCGGAAGTACAAAATCAATTTCAATTACAATTCCAAAATGTTCGGAATCTAAAAATTTATTCCAATTCCAAAAGGCCCGGAAATTTTGGAATTTCGGAAAAAAATCGGAAACCACATAAGCTTTAAAATTTCAAAACTTAGCCGAAATTTTCTGAAATGTTCATAATTTTTCGAAAATAAGAGCATCCATGTCGATAAAAGTAAAACTAATAACTACTAAATTTCAGTTCAAAAAAATACATAACAATAAACACATCATAATATCCAATAAAACTTCCAACAACAATTCATTATGTCAAAATCCTAAAACAAAACTTATAGGTGTATTATTCGGAAAATAAGTATTATATAATATATACTATTTATAGGTGTATTTTTCGGAATTAAATCGGATCGGAAATCGGAAATTCCAAATTTATTTTATATAATTCGAATTCCAATCCAAAAAAATCGAAAAATTTCGGAAATCGGAATTTCGGAAGTCGGAATGAAAAAAGTTGTTCAAAAATCGGAACTTTTCGGATCGGAACCGGCGGAAATTGGAAAATCCGTTCCAACTTGCACCCCTATTCACAGTATCTATTTGACAGATGGTCGTTGTCGGACTATCCGTTATATTAGAATATAAATATTAAAGGTAAATTACGGCAACCTCTGATGTAATAAATATTGGGTAAATTACGGCAACTTCTGAGGTAGGATCAAATTACGAAAAAAATTCATTATATTTGGATAATTATAATCACCCTCAAATATATATCTTATTACATGCCCACGTCAAATTTAGTGGAATCTTCTAGATTATGTGGAATATTCTTCAGTTTGTATATGTTTTATCCCATTCGAAATCCACATTTTGAACAAAGTGATCATAGGATGTGTCTCTTGGCTTGTAAATATTTTATTGTGGTGCATTAGAAACTGTAATTCGCCCAAAATGTGTACAAATTAGGAAACATTCCACGAAATCTAGAATATTTTGTTCAATTTGACACCATGAGTGTGTAGTGTCAAAAGATTCATGGTTGATGGAAGTTTTAATTATCCAAATAATATGGATTTTTTCGTAATTTAAACTTATTTCGTAGAGATGGCGGTAATTTACCCATAAATTAGAAGGCAGTTAGTTACAGAGTATTTTCCAAGAAATTATTAGATATGACGACATATTTTATGTATCTCAACATTTGTTCTGTTTTTATGTCATTCACTTAAGAAGGTGTGAAGGGCAAAATCAAGTTTGATATACCTTCACTAAAAAATAAACTTATGTAAGCCATGAAACAAAAATTAGCTTCGCCAATCCAAAATTTCGGGTTTCGCCTTGGTATGCAAGCCGATTACATAGGTTAACAAGGATAATAATGAAGAAACCTATGTTACATGTCGAAATCTTGCGGCATGATGCTGAAAAGAGTCGAACCGTGACTAGGAATTCGAACTTTGATACTGATGTACTTCGGCTTGAGATATAAAGTCCAAATCTTGTAATTATAAGATATGAGCTCAATTACTAACTAAGGCTCATCAAGATCATATTTCAGGCTCATAGTTGAAAATTAATCTAACATATAAATAGTTTAATTATCAATACAGGTAATTCAATTTTTACTATTATAATTTTTACTGCATAATATTTCTCTTACATTCTCTCCATACTTCTCTCTCGAATTTGGATTGACTTAAGCATCGGAGGGTTTTCGCCGGAACCAAGCTTCGGCGCCCTAACGTATATTCTTTACGCAGGAGACACCTCTCCCTATTGCAAGAAGACTATCGAAGCATTATTTATATTCCTGAATATTTATTACAAGTTGGAGAATTATCTCGAGGTGATTTGAGTCAACTTATTGTTGACCGCATCAAATATCAACAGGTAAAAACTTATGTTTTGCAAAAATAATCTCATCGCATAATTGGGATTGCGGTACTTCAAACTTGACGATAACCTTATTTTTGTTTAAAATATGGAATAATCTAAGCATAAAAGTTGTAGTTCTTCGCGTTTGTTTTTCAATACCCCTTGAATCACCTCAAGTCGAAGTACTATGAATGATTTATGATCAAAATTGTAGTCACTACCAAAACTGCTATGTGATTTCTTCTTTCGCCGCCGGTACTTTTCTTCTCAAATGTGTACATTTCGGCCATTATTCATCCTACGCATTTCCAATTTTTTTTTTTTTTTTTTTTTAATTACCATAACAACTAAAATTACAAATGTGATAAGATTTTCGAAAATTCCGAACTACCATAAATTTGAAGACTTCCCAAATCCGGAATAGATTTTTCGATTCCAAAACTTTCGAAACTCGAATTTGAACTCATTTTCTACTCCCGAATTTTTCGAAATGTTTTTCGATCATACTATGTAAAAATCCCTCAATATCTGTTTTAAGATGAACAACATACTACTTCAATACTATAATATTTTATGAGTTTTGACAAAAATGCAATACTAAGAAGAATTTAGAATACAAGATTACTTAATTCAACAAACCCCAAATTAAAATGATACTTAGATTTATTAGTGCAAACATTACAGCAAAGAAAAAAAAAAAGAAATTGAACAACAGAAACACCTTGTTTTATTAGCAGCCAAGTCATAATACGAACATAACACAAACAAATAAAAAAGCAAATTCTGGAAAAACACATGAAACCGAAAACAAGTGGGAAATTACTTAGAGCCTCGACGAGCCGATCGGATGGTGGACAACAATGTTGTTATAAGCATCAAGCGTGAGAAAATCATCGAGCACGTCCGCGGTGCACTGCCTCGTAAAAATCTTGCACGCCTCTCTATACATCCCCTTATTGAACTTCTCCTTGCCAACCTCCCTCTCGATCCGACCCATTTCCTCCTCGACGACCCGCCCGAACAACTCGCGGGTCACCCGCACGCCGAGTCCGTCCCCGTTCAGCTCCACGCCGTACCTCAGCCACTGCCAGTTCTGTACGCGGCTGATCTCGGCCGTGGCGGCATCCTCCATGAGGTTGTAGAGAGGGACCGATCCTGTGCCGGTGAGCCACGCCGCAACGTACTGTATGCCCACGCGCGTGTTGAGGCGTAGGCCGTCCATTGTGCGGTGGCCCCTCGGGGTCTGGAGGAGGTCTTCCTCGGTCAAACTTGCGGCCTCGTCGCGTTTGACCGTTTGGATTTGGTTGGGCTTGCTGCCCATTGTGGCCGTGAAGACTTCGTCGATGGCCGGGATTAGTCCCGGGTGGGCTGCCCATGTGCCGTCGTGCCCGGCTCTTACTTCACGCAGTTTGTCCCTTTTCACCAATTCTAGCGCTGCCTCGTTCGCCTTCGGGTCGTCTCTGATTGGAATTTGAGCGGCCTGTGTTTTTTGATTGATAGAAAATCAAGATTACATTTTCATTTGCGAAAAGATTATATTGTTGTGTAATTGTTAGAGGTGAAAATCAGGCGAATCAGATTGAAATTAGCACTTTCAGAAAAATTCCAATTCAGTTAAAAAAAAAGAATAAAAAAAATCAGAAATCAGAATTTCGGAAATTGGAATAAAAAATGTCCCAAAACTGGATTTTTTTTCAGGAATTGGTGGGATTCAAAAATTTCAAATATTTGGTCACCTACGACACAATATAATATACGTAGTAATATTGATTTTGTAAGTGCAACTTCTTTGGATAAAAATGGGTTCGAAAAATATTTTCGGAAATTAAAATCGGATAAAAAAATCCGAACAATTCCAATTTTGTTCCAATAACAATCGGAAAAATAGGAAATCAGAATTCGGAAATATTGGGATCAGAAACAGCGAATTCGAAAATTTTGTTCCGATTTCCAGCCCTAGTAATTGTAGAATATAATTGTGGAATATGTACATAATATACATAGAATAAAAAAAATGTACCATTCCTCCCATGGCGTGGACCCCGCGCCTATGACACGTGCGAATGAGTAAATCGGAGTAGCTTCTCATGAAGTGTTGGGACATGCCAACTTGAACTCGGTCCGGGAGAAGGCGGTCGGGGTGAGATTGGAAAGTCTTGATGTAGCTGAAAATGTAGTCCCATCGACCGCAGTTCAAACCGATCGAATGGTCTCGAAGTTCGTACAGAATCTCGTCCATCTGAAACACCGCCGGAAGAGTCTCGATCAGAACGGTGGCCCTTATGCTCCCGTTTTCTATTCCCATCATTTTTTCCGCCCTCTCGAACACCATGTTCCATATCCTTGCTTCTCTGTCCCGATATAATGAAAATCATGTTTATTAGCAAAACATTAATATTGTAATAGAGGGGATTTCAAAATGTTATCGAAAAATAACTATCATTGAAATCTTTCATACAAAATTTTAAGAAAATTAATGAACATGTATTGATTTTGGAAAAATATATGAAATAGGACTAACTTATATATCTAATGAGTTATATTTTTTTTATTAATTACTCTCACTCCACACTTGTGAATGAGAATTCATATTTGATAATGCAAATATGGGAAAAAGAAAGAAGTAATTAATGCAGCATTGAAAACCAATGCGACATGTAATTTGAAATATATAAATAAAATAAAATAAAAAATTCTGGAAAGAAACTTGAAAAAAAATAATTAATGCAACATTGAAATTCTAATGCAGATTCTATAAAAAAGAGAGGTCTAATGCAACAATGTAACAAATAATAGGAAAAAAAAATCTAAAACGACACTTCATTTGAAACAAAGATTTAAGGTTGTAATAATAGATTTTCAAGAAATAAAGATGTTTACCTAGAGTGCTCCATCTTGGGGAGATAGAAGAAGGGGCCGAAGCCTTGGCCTTGCGTGCGGCGAAAGGCGGACCAATTGTGGAAGAAATAGAGACCAAAGTCAACGAGGCAAGCGGTCGCCGGTTCGCCGTCGATGAAGATGTGGGCTTCGGGCAAGTGCCAGCCCCTCGGGCGGACAAAGAGCTTAGCCGTTTGTTCGTTGAGTTTGTAAACTCTGTTCCTTGCTTTGTCGTTGAAGCTTATGTTCCCGTTAACAGCGTCCCTTAAGTTCGCGTGCCCTCGCATTAGGTTCTCCCAATTCGGTGCCAGCGAATCCTCGAAATCAGCCTATGACATAGATTCACATTTCAAGTTCAATTTCACATAGACAATGATAATACAACTGAGTTGCAACCTATGTTGCACAAACAGAACACCGAACAGGAAAAGGGCAAAACGGTAAAACGGACGAGGGAACTTGAAAAAAATTAGGGTAAATTACGAAAAACCCCGTGAACTCAGGTTAAATAACAAAAACACCCCAACACTCCACCTATGTGTAATTACCAAAATCCATCTCTGGTTAACTATTGATCTGAGGTTTTTTAGGTTTTTTAAAAGAAAATGTTTACAAACTATTATAGTTATGTTAAATGAGTGAGAAATAAAAGAAAATATCCGAAATTGTGTAATATATATTCCCTGAAATCAAAACACAAATAACAGAAAAACCGAACACGAAAAGGGCCAAACGGTAAAAACGGACAAGGAAACTTGCAAAAGAATTAGGGTAAATTACGCAAAACCCATGATCTTGGGCTAATTAATTACTAAAATTCCCCTCTGAATAAACTGTTTATTTGAGTTTTTTTACGGAATATATTTCAGTCTATTATACCTTCTATTATACCTTCTGTTAGATATATTATAACTTATATTAGATATTGGGAAATAAAAAAAATATTTAAAATTGTGTAAAATTTGTTCTCTAAATTTAAAAGGGTTCGTGTAAGACGAAAACAAACATTCAGAGTTTTATATATTTTTATAATTACGAATGGGTTTTTTGGTAATTACAAATATACGGGAGTGATTTTTGTAAATATTTAAAAGAAAATCAAAAAAAAAAAAGAACTAACCATGAAAACTTTGGCACCAGAATTGAGTGCATTAATAATCATCTTCCGCTCGACCGGGCCCGTAATCTCGACCCTCCGATCAGCCACCGGCGGAGGCACGGCGGCGCAGAGCCAGTCACCATCCCTGACGTGGGCAGTGGCCGGATCAAAACCAGGCAAAGCACCATTGTTGTACCTCATCTTAGCATCCTTCCTGCACTCCATAGCGTACTTGATATGGTTCCGAAATTCCCGCTGCAAACCAGCCACAAACAAGAGAGCATCTTTGCTAAGAATCTTTGCAAACTCCGCATCGTATCTCCCCCTTACGTCAACACCCTCCGGCACATCGTAACCCACGACGACGGCGGTCTTTCTTCCCTTTGAAGGAGTTTCAAGAAACGTTTCAAAACCCACCATTTTTTTTTCTTGAAGAATTTGTATTGAGAGAGTGTAAATGAAGAAGGTGGTGAAATGAGTGATATATATAGAGGGTATTTTTTATTTTATTTTTAGGGGTGGTTTTTTTTTTTTTTTTTTCAAAACTACCCTTGTGTAATCTTTAATTGCTAAAAAACCCTTATATTAAAAAAACTAGCAGGAACCCCCTTGAAAAATATTCAATGCAAATAAAACTCCTAATAACTTATCGTGTAATGTGTACGCGCGTATTGTGAGAGTAAAAGTGTTTTTTTTTTTACCTGAAATGTGAAAAATAACGTTCGTTTTTTAATATTTCTGACTTTTTGTGTGGCTAATTTCATCATTTAACATAAGTCAATAATAAATTTATAAATAATTATGATTCACGGAAACTTCAACCCACACGCGTTTCTATGTTTCGCAAAAACCAAAACTTCATGACACCTATCGAAAAAATTCCGGGGCCGTTTCCATAAATATTTAAACGATTCGGCGACGCTTCTGATAATATTGAAAAATTGGAAACGCGTTTCCTCACAAAATAAATCCAAATTTCATTTTAAATAAAAACTTCGAATTGCATACGTTTGAAAAAATCTTAAATATTATGTCTCCTTTTCACTTAAATTCCATATTAAAATAAATTTATATGCCCGCTGTAATTTGTGAAATGATATTAAACATTATAATTTTTTTAGAAATTATGAATGCACCCCTATATTTTTATTATTTACGCGTTTCCCCACGTTCTCATATCCATTTTTTTTCTGAAAAACGGAGTTTCTCCGTGTTTGTGCTACATAGCTAAATAAGGACGGGGTGCTTTGAACAATACAATATAAGGGGCTTCTTACTAATTTTTTTAACATAAGGGATCTTTCAGCAATTGAAAATAACACAGGGGCGTCTGTGCTATTAGGTCGGGTGGGGGGCGGTATGGGATAGGCACGAAATGCGTTATCAAAATGGTGCAAGAATTATTAATTAGAAAGAAATTGGGGTTTGGAATTATGTGCGTCACCTAGTTGTTGTTGTTGATCTTGATAATGCTAAAGGGATAATGGCTATGGGCATTTGGCTTTGAATTACGTGCCTCTTGCCTTGGGAATCGTAACTTTTTTATTTTTTTTATTTTTTTATTTTTAAATAGAGATAGTATTGTTTTATGTTGAGGGTTTCTTGATGATTATGCTTACTCAATGTTGTAAAAAGCGGTAATCGAGTCCGAGTCGGTCAGGCACCGATTCACGATTAATCGGTGCGGCGGTGATTAATCGGTGATAAATCGGAAATAAATCGATTTTTAAAATTTAATATAATATATTTCTAAATATTATTTATAGATACTCAAAACATATAAAAAAAGATATTTAAACATAGTTATATCTCCATCATGTATATATCCTAATAACATAATAAAAGTTTAATAATTATAAGATCATAATACATAAATATCCTTATAAAATATAAATAAAAAAGCAATTTTTTTGAATTTACATTTATTTTTGAACATTCCTCGCATACATGTTGGTCGAAAACCTACACGCAAGTGCACGTATCGTACAAGTAATATAGTGGACTAAAAGTCCGGATATCGAACCCACAGGGAATATTTAATTATCTAATCCTAAACGCTAAATTCTACCAATTATTATCAAGCCCACCCTACACAGTCGAATTTTAGAGAGAATTAACTAAATTAAACTAAATTAAAAGCAAATTAAAACGACAAAGCAAGAAAGCAACTTAAACACGAAGATTTATCAGACTAAACAAGCCTAGGATTTTATTCTTCCCCCTATGTGATTATTATTTCCCCCAATTTCTTCAATTATGCAAGCAATTAACCCGGATTATTAACCTGAGATGCTAAAATAATCATAACCCGCTTCCGCGTGTATTACGATTCTAATACTCTAGATTCAATTACTATATTCCTATGCAATTAATTCTAGAACACAACATTAAGCACAAATCTCAATAATGGCTACCTAAGAGATTAACTATATTCCTATATTAATACCACAAAGGCTCTCCTACCACAGTTCTAATTATTAACCCGATCTTCCGATTTATGCGATTAACAATAACATAAAAGCGCATAAAGTGGCCAGTTTCATGAACTTAATAAAACAAGAAGAATAATAATCCAGAATTAAAACTTGCATAAAATCATAGAATTGAGTTCATAAATCCCACATAGGGTTCCAAATAAAATCCTAGAAATAAAGACTTAGCTACTCGTAATTCTTATGATGAATAAAATAAAATAAATAAATTAAATAAGAAAAACTATGCTTGAATCTTCGTTGATCTTCTTTGCTCTTGAATTTGCGTCCAAAGATGGATCCCTAATTGTGTGCTTGACTTGGTCTTATATAGGGTGGAAAACTTGGGGAAGAAGGTAGTTTCCTTGTGCAATTAGGATTCCTTTACTGCGTTTTTTTGTCATCTCGGACGGCCGTCCCGAATTTTGTACTAAAACTCGGACGGTCGTCTCACAACCAGAGACTGCTTCTGGTTCTCAGACGGGGGTCCCAGAATTTGAACTAAAACTCGGACGGGGTCCGAGCTTTAAATCTTCAGAATTTTGATTTTTTCACTTTTGGCCCATGTTTTCTCCAAAATTGCAGTTTTAACCCCATACTTTTCCAATTCTTCAATTTGTACCTAAAATACAATAAATCAACTTTTTAAGCACCAATTATCGTTAAAACACACCAAAAGCTCAAATAAAAAGGTACGATAAAGTGTAAAAATATACACTTAACATAAACAAAATAAGGCATAAACTCATATTTTTTATTATTATAATCCAACTTTTATTTTAAATTTATAAAAAAAAAAAAAAACCGATTTTTAACCGATTTTTGCCACCGAGTTTGACCCGCTTTAAATGTTTGACCACCTCAAACCGCCTCGGACCGCCTCAGACCGCCTAAAACCGCCTCACAGGCAAAAAACCGAATTTTCAAACCTTTACACTAAAATCGTAAAGGTTTTGGACCGCCTCCGCCTCGGAGACCGATTAATCGGCCGCCTCGGCCGATTTTTAGAACACTGTGCTTACTCAATCTTTATGCTTTTGGTTGGATTGAGTACGGTCTATTCTATGCTATACCGGAAGAGATACACATATTTTTATTATTTATACATACACAAATACATACTTTTATGTGTAGATCAACGTAAAAATTCATTTGGTGTCGAACATTGAATACTGAATCTTATGCTTAATTGGGGCAAGTTCATTTAGGAATTTTAATTTTAAAACCTATTTCTCAGATATTCTAGGGGGAGTCAGATGCTACACCTATTTATACTGGATGAATTTTAATTAAATAATATCATCTAAACATATATATACATTGTTGTGTGTGATTATGTATAGATCCACGATTCAAATCCACCATGTATA